CACCCCCCCACCCTTAATCTCAGAGCATGGAAATTCTGGATCATGCCTCTTCTCCAACCTGATATCCTTCCGATGTGTTGAATTGCAACTCTCAAAACCCCAAGCCTCTGTGTTGCATAGTTAGTTTAGGCTCTACATGGGAGCTTAAGAATATCGTGCCTTTTATTTAAATTATTTTCCCGTTGAGTGAGGATCACAACACTTTGGTGTAACTGGGCATTTTCCAGGTGGTGGCCATACTGAAGCCTGGTATAGCCCAGGTCAGATGAATATCATCTGAATACTGAACATATTTTTTGATCCTTTGGAGCATCAGCACTCCTCAGGCTCAAAACATCATGTATTTTTGACTACCGACTTTGAAGTGTGTGTAGGATGTTATCCTCTGTTATGAAATAGACCTTGACCATTATTTGGCTTGATATGCAAATAGAAACTAAACATCTGCTGCTTAACTGCTGTATTTCCATGGATTACATGGATTATGTGCATTAGAAATACATTCATGTTCTTGAATGTCAGTTATAGCGTGATGCTGATTTTTAATTCTTTGTGTCTTGACTGTCAAAAACCAAGGGTTAAAAGCTCACACATTTTTGTAAGTGTGCACCACCACACAATAAGCTTGGGACAGGCTTTGTGCCATGTGTGAAGGTATATTCAATTTGTCCTGGATCACTATGATAATCAGGATGACTATGAGCCTTATGAAACAGAAAGAACTGTCTGGTTCCTGCCTTGCAAGGAGTAAGCTCAGAACTCACCTGAGTCGAAATGTAACCTTTGTTCATAATTGAAGACTCCAGCAGAATTAAAAACAAGCATCAGAAAATACATAGATGGAAATAGGGTCCAGTTGCACAAATCGGTTTTTGCTTCCTGACATCTGCTTACGTAGTTTTATTCCCCGTCTAGGATGGCAAATTTGAGCTACATCAAAAACTTCAGATTTTGCAGCTCAGCCAAGGATGAGCTGGGATATTGCTTGACCTCAGTTGAGGCTGCGGTAGAATATATCCGTCAAGGAAACCTCTCTGACAGGACACCGGTAAGTCCCTGTAATGCGGTATATCCTGTCCCAGCATGAAAATCTCTCTAATAGCGTCCCCGCTTTTGTAGGCCTGCAGGATTCTGGCCACCTTGTAACAGGAGCCCTTTCTGGAGAGCTTGTCAAAGCTGTTCCTTATCCTGTGTACGCTGCTCAAGCATTTCAGTAACCGAAGCCTTAGGCTGCTGAAATATAAAGGCTGGCGAAAAGACCCACCTTTAATCTTGTGCATACAAGAAGCATGAAGGGCAAACCCAAAGTGAAGATCCCAAGCTGCAGGAAATATGCGCCTGTGCTCTTTCATGCATTTCACTTGTAGATGCAGGCTTTAATTTATTTAGCGCAAATCCTGTCCTAAGACAGGAGTGTGTTTTTATTATTATTTTTGCATGGCATACCAGCAGATGGGATCAAGACAATACATTTTGATTGAGTAAATTGAATCAAACTTAATTTGAACGCGTTGGGGTGGTTATCTGCCCCTGTATTTAATAAGTCTCTCACCTTCTGTTAACTAAAAATTAGCATATGTCAACAGCTTTTGGAGGGCCTCTCAGAGCTGCACTTAAAAGCACCATTGATTTAGGATTACAGTAGTTGGCACAAGCCTATTTTAGACTTAAAAACAAAGACACCTTTGGATTTCAGCATTCTGGGCTTAGTCAAATCATTTAAAGCCACGCTGATACATTAAGTGGAATATATTCCAACTGTGTTATATTCTGAGCTGAGTGAGAGATTATAGGGCTAAATCAACAACCTTTGTGTGTTAAGACATACAGCCAAGTTACAGTGATTGCACAGTTTCCGTCAGCAATAAATTGTTGGCTTGTAGAATGTGTTGTCGCATGTGAGTGAAATCACAGCAGATATGTCAAGAGATTTTTTTTTTAAAAGCACTAATGCTTTGAAGGCACTCTGAAGGTGGTTTTAAAAACCTGATGAATGGAGAACTGCCTGATGGCAATTCAAGCTATTTTCTGGAATGAATGTAGAGGCAGCTGGCAGATTTTAACCATGGTAATAGTTCATTTTGATCTTCAAAGTGCTGCTGGAGGCTTTATTGGGTCAACCTGCCTTTTCTTTCCATTTATGCCATCTAATAAAAATCTACCAGCTTCGGATGCTCTGCATGTAAGTTGAGAAGTGGGAAGCATCAGCAGAACATGCTGGAAGTGCCAGGGATCTCTTTCACTTTGGTTTAAGGCATAGTGGGGTTTGCTCGGTTTTGCCCTAGTATGGAATGTGAGCAACGGCTGTAAATGACCTGCCAGTATTCCTTTTGTGGCTGGAAATATTCTTCCAGCCACAAAATCATCTTCTTTTCCTTCTCCATATTTTTAGGATTTGGGGGGTGTTTACAGAACAAAACACATGGCTTAAATCTTGTGGAGGCCTAAGGCACCTTTCAGTACTCCTGAAATGTCCACCCCAAAGGAACTCTGGACCTGCCTACTGTTATTGCTTATATCTTGCCCCCAAATTGGTGTAACCCCCAAGCCAGTTGGCGTGGTGCCCTTCTAACTTAGAATGCCTGGTTAACCTAATCACTCTGAATACAGAATGCTAGATAATTTAGCATTATGGAGTTTAAGCTAGTGTTGAATTTTCCAAGACATGAAATGATGGGTCTCTAAGCGTCTCTTACAGGGGTTGAAAATATATATTTTCTCTGAGAATCCTGCCCCAAATCTTCTGGTCTGGGGTGGGGAGTCTGCAGCCTGCTAGAGAAAGTTGAGCTACAGCTCCCAGCATGACCACCAGCAAGTCATGTTGGACGTTGCAGTTTGTCAACTTTTGGAGGGCCGCAGGTTCCTCGCTTCTGCTTTAGACCGTACAGTTACCACAAAGTTGATGACGAGAGAAACTTCCAAAACTTTAGGTGCTCCTGATCTGAATCGAAGCTGGAGAATGTGGACATGGTACCTGAATGAAAGCTGCGTCTGTGAGCCAACTACAAAGAATGGAATTTAGGTGTTTAATGGCTTGGTCTGGATCTCTTGATGCCGAAGGCCTGGGGCTCCTTTCCGGCAAACGCTTCACTCCTCTGCTGCACTTTGAATCACTTTTGCAAAGTACTTTCACTTTGCTTCTTGGTAGGATACCTTCTCAAGCAAACTTGTGCCACTTGGCTTTTCCTTTCTAAAATGGCAGAGGTGGCCTGCAAGGGTTGCTTGTTAGATCTCAGAGCCATGTTAGATTAAAAAAAAAAAAAAAGGAAGGTGTGTGGAACAGAATAAATGGTTGCACTTCTCAGTATTTTGCCTGAAGATGATTTGAAGATTGTTCATAACTTGTTACTCTAACGTCTGAAGAAATTTAAGGCAAAAATGTGGGGACGATGGAAACGTTTGCTGTCTTCTGTAAAATAAAATGTATTGATGAATTTGAGAATGTGTGCAGTTCTTTAAAGTAAAACTACTTTAAATGACTCAATAAAAGATGCCCAGTTTCCCAGTACTTAATTGTTTAAAAATTTTCCTGGTACTTTTGCTGAAATGCAGCTGTCTGCCCCTTAATTTTTAAAACTTGTTATTTCAGATGTTTGCAGATCATTTATTTGCAAGGCAAATCATGAATGGTTGTATGTATGTTTCTTTGCAGAAGATTTGGATTGCTCAGTTAAGAATTGCAGTGTGTCAGCTCCATGAGTTTCATGTTTCAACCTTTTTGGCCTAACTTGCATTTAAATCCCTGATGCTGTGCTTACATGACAGATTTACTCATGGTTAACTGAACTGTAGCTTACTCAACCTATCTGCTATACAGATTAAGAAGTAAGGAAAATGTTTGGTAAGATATATGCTGGGATCTTGAGGTGCTGGTTCCCCCCTTTACTGCTTGAAAATAGCTTATATCTCATGGTGAGGGGCCAGATTGAGATATATTCTTTGCTAAGTCATTGGGGCTTAATCTGGAAGGGATACCAGAACTGGATTGGGGTAGTATAAAAAGGGAAAATCAGTACAGGTAGTCCTCATTTACTGACCACAATTGGGACTGGCAACTCAGTTGTTAAATGAAGCAGTTGCTAAGTGAAACCAACTGTGCTTATGATCTGAATTCAGCTTTCCTTTGCTTTACAGACCTGCAAAGGTCGTAAATGCAAGGACTGGTTGCAGAGTTACTTTTTCATCACTGTCATAACTGTGGTCGCTAAATGAGGCAGTCGCAAAATGAGGACTCCCTGTAATATGCTTCATCAACCTGAATTGGCTTGCTGATGCTGTCCAGTTCCCAGCTGGCACTGCAATCAGTCTTGATTCAGTCTGCAATTCTTTCATGAGAATGGAAGGGGGAAAAAAACAGGGATATCATACAGCCTTCTCCAGCCAAGCATGCTCTAATTCAATTAGACTTCAATTCCCCATGGGCTGGGCTGTCAGGATCTATTGAGAGTTGAAGTTAATGACACCTACTAGAAGGACCAAGTTTCCCATCCCTGGCTCCTGTGTTTTGTTGACCATACACCCAAGGATTTGTGGAATGGCTAGCTGAAATACCAGAGGGCACCACGTTGCCTATTCCAATCTGAAATGCGGGTTGGAAGCCTTCAGCAGTTTTGAGAGCATCTATAACAACACTGGCTAGGTTGACATGTGCTGAGCAAAAGCATTTCATTTGCATTTAGCTTAGTGTAAATCAAATCAAATCTTTATTATGATCATAGACCAGCATATTAGCATAGTGTAAAGATAAACTCTGTCATCAGAATATGGTTGATTATAAAATATGTGTTGAGCCTTGAATAAACCACAGTTGCCAAGTTCATACTTTATGAAATACTGTGGTTTGGAAACCATCATTTGTAAGTTCACACATGACATACCAACCTAAAACCCAAGTGTATCACAGCTTTGTCTGATATAAATTTAGTTATTTCTTCTCTCTAACATGAAGAGGACTTTCAATCCCTCAGCATCATTTGATGAGTTCTCCAGCCCTGTTATTGCTTCCTTTCTCTTACCCAAGATGTCACTTCACAGTTGACCCTTTACATTCTACCTTCCCAGAAGAGAATTATTCAACATGATTGACCAAACAAATAAAAACCAACTTCATAATAAAATGAGAGCATTAAAACTCTATTAGCAATAGTAAGGAAGTGGGTTTGAGTTAGAACCAGATGTCCCCTTTATTCCTTCTTTTTGATTCTTTTTATTTTGTTCCTTCGAGTTAGTTTTGACTCTTGGTGACTGCCTGGACAAGTCCCTGCAGTTTTCTTGGCAAGGGTTTTTGGAAGTGCTTTGCTGTTGTCTCCTTCCTGGGGCTGAGACAGAGTGACTGGCCCAAGGTCGCCCAGCTGGCTTTGTTCCTTTTGGCTGACCTTTGTTTTCAAACTAGTCACACATTCATATCAGTGGTAAAAAGCTGCCTTCTGCCAGTCATCTTCCTTGTCCATCTAACTCCAGTCGGTCCTCTTGATTGCTGGCAGTCTTGCAAAAACTGGATTTACACATGATGCTACCTAAAGTTCTTTGCAGTTGGGTTTGGAGTTGCTGTGGAAAACAAAATTCTGTTCTACCATTGCTATTGCCATTCCTCTATTGAATTACACTTTTTTTGTTCTCTGTGGTATAGTTCACACAAGCTAAACCACAGCTTGTTTAAGACTGATTTCTTAAGACCATAATTAGCTTGATTTTGTATAGCATGCTATGCTGCAAACCTTAGTTCATGATGGCTGGGTTCACAGATCTTGCTAATGTGAAACCAGTTAGTGCATAACATGGTTTGTAAACCCTGTCTATATTTCACTGACCTGAATCTGCTTCTCTCTGGCTTTGAAGCCAGAATCGCGTGGTGGGTGAAGCTCATCAGACACAAAGAACCAATTGTTGTGTTGGTACAGTTTTGGCTTTGTAATGGCACCAGAACCAATGCAACAAGCAGTGTCAGTATTAATAAATCTTGATATTTACAATTAGTTTGTCAGGGCGCTCTCCATTGAAATATGCTTATAAAGGATAGAGCGCAGTCTGATTTCACCTCATTTCTGCTATAACACTGGGAGTTTGTGCATACGTGTGCTTCTTCAAGACGATAAATCCATGTCAAACAGCTGTACCACTTTCTATTTTCCATAATAAACGATGTGAACATATCTGAATAAAAACTCCATTGTAAGAGGACTCTTAAATGAGAACATTTGATTACCGTTCCTGTCTGTAAATTGTTAATGTTGATACAACTCCCAGCCCAGTAGAAGAGAATATATATAGTTCAGGGTTGAGCTATGGTGGCCTTGGTGCTTTCTGAAGTTGGTTATTCACTTGCAGACATTTCATTACCTAACTAGGTAACATCAGTGCTGATGATTAGGCTGATGATCAGGCACTGATGATGTCACCTAGTCGGGTAGTGAATTGTCTGCAAGCAACCAACCAACCTCAGAGAGCACCAAGAACTCCACAACTCTCAACTTTGGCCACAAACAAATCCTTACTGATACGAGATTAGAAATGGTGCAAGGAGGGCTGTGTTCCATCAGACTGGCTCTCAAGTGGGTTTCTGCCATGTACAAATGCTGCTCTAACTCTTAATGTTATAATAAAATTGGGGACAATAAAGTGTAGCAGTTAAGGTGTTGGACTAGGAGCAGGAGGCCCTGGTATTAGTCTCTCGCAGAAACTGACCTCCCAGAGTTGCTGTTGCTGAGACAAATAGAAGGGGCCCCTTATGTATGCCACCTTGAGCTGCTCTGAAAAAGGCAGGATATACGTCGAATGCATAACTTAGTTGATAAAAGAACAGAAGTTTTCTTGGATGACATTGTGGTTCTCCTGTTGTGATTTTAATTTTCTTAACGTTCACTTTCTTTTTAGGATTCTACGTGTGTGCTTTTGGTTGAAAGATGGAATTGATTCTGTTCACTAGTTACATTAAAATGTTGAAAAACCATCCTTTGGTGCAATAAAATTGATAGTGTTAAATTTTGAGAGTCGGGAAAATGGAAATGGAATTCATCAGGTTAACCCAGCGTTTCTCAACCTTAGCAAATTTAAGATGTGTGGACTTCAACTCCCAGAATTCCCCAGCCAGCCATGCTGGCTGGGGAATTCTGGGAGTTGAAGTCCACACATCTTAAAGTTGCTGAGGTTGAGAAACACTGGGTTAAAGGAATCTGATGTTGTCTGTTAAACCAGAGGGGGAAAAAGACAGTTGCAAATACTTGTTGTCAGTTAAATATTTCTCGTTCATATATTCTTTCTCTCTTTTCCTTTTGTAGGGATCTGAAGGATTTAGTGAGAAGCTGTTCTTAAGACAGAGAATGAATTTGCTCTCCCACATGTCCACCACCCCGATAGACTGCTTATTTAAGGTTTGGATTGCATAGCTATTGGATTAGCTCACAAGTATTAGCAAAATATTATCCTTTCTAATGCAACCTGTTGAAGGACTGTCTCCACTGTTCTCTGTGGCCTAAAATTGGGTGTTTTAGAATTGATGAAAGTATGGCACGTATCTTTCCTGTGACACTTTTATTGGCTATTTAAATTACTAATACAATTATGGATGCTTTAATCCGAGTAGCATCAATGTTGGTGAAATATGGTTTTATTCATGATAATATTCTATTTATTTTCTAAGCAGGACACGTGTGATTCCTCCCTCCATTTAATCATCTGCCATGGGGGAGATGAGGCTGGGGGAGGCTTTTCTAGGAGTGATCTCTGTGGGCACATCCTTAAAGCTCCTTTTTTAGTCAAATATTTAAACTTTAATGCGTTGAGAGTTTGTTTGGACCAGAATATGTCTTCTCCTTGCTGGCACAGAGAAGCTGCTGAATCAGTTTGATGTTACCATTTTATTGCTGTTGAAGTTGTATATAGGATTTTTAAATGTACTTTTTAAAAAATATCTGCCCCTTTGAGAATTCTTGTAAATGGAGAGATGGAAACTACATTTTCAAATGAAGTTATACGATCCTAAGAAAGGGTTTGGTTAACCCGTTCTGGCCTAATAAAATTGTGTTAGATAACACAAAGATTTTTTATCAGGGAACATCAGTATTGTTTGGACTCTACTTCTCTCTTGTTATTGACTTACGTTAAATGGTGTCATTTTTACATTTTTAAAATTGCGTGTCGAAATTTATCTTGAAGAGCTAAGTTTGTAATCTCACATCTGCCTTTCCCTACCTGGTGTCTTCCAGGTACATTGGAACCACAGCTCCAATTGTTCTTAATCAGTATGACAATTGGAGAAAATGGTTTATCCCTGTTCAGCTTGAATAAGGCATGCTGACCTTGGTCGGACTTGAGCAGACCCTCACTGGTTTTTATGGTTTAGTTAAAGTAGTCACAGTTAACATGCTCATTTAGGAGTAATTGCATATCTAAAACTGCATTGGCATACAGATCCAAGGAAGGCCGCTACTGTGCATTCCCCATTGGTTCATAGGAATGCCTGTCCCTGGTCTGTTTGGGTGCAATTAGGTACTTATGAGTTTCCTTTCTGAAGCTGTTTGGAAGCTGTCATTCCTCTTGTATGTGTGCTTCAGAGCTTATCCTGCTTTTATTTGCACCGATTTTGCTTTTCCAAAGCATATGATTTCTTTTCATAGCTTCTGATGGCCAGTTTACTATACACGGTCAGATACTGGAATTATTGTCAGAGATGGCAGACAATAAACCAGTGACTTTTGATGGAAACACAGACCCTTCTACCATTTGCTGTGATGTGAGAACCGACCCCGAGCCCTTCTCGTTGTTCTTCAAGGACTTACTCCTCCATCAGGTCTCTTGTCTGCTTGGGTTTTGAACCTGCCCAGATGTGTCTTTCTCATTGTTCTTTGCAGCATGTTGCTTCGGGCAACCAAGAAGAAGTAGAACGCTTATTGAGCCAAGGAGATAGTGATAAGGATACAGTGCAAAACATGTGCCATCCGCTCTGCTTTTGTGACAAATGTGAGAAGCTAGTTTCTGGGTAAGAGTCATTTTTTTCCAAGGGCTATCCCAAATGATTCAGAGTGAAAGTGAAGACACTTGATTCTGTCTACAGTGGCTCGATTCAGATATAATACCAGATTATGGTCTGCGTATGCATAAGGGTTATGCATGCATTCATTCAGTCATCTTTCCATGGCTCAGTAAGGTAGGTCAGTATCATTGTTAATGCCATTTTTTAGGAGGAAAGGATTGAAGCTGACAGAAGAGTTGCTAGCTAGCTCAGAGTAGGGCAGAATTTTAATAGGTGGCCTTGTAACCACTGCACCACAACAGGGTCCCTATTACAGCACTTTTTGTGGACAGAAAAAGCTGTGAAGATATTAAAATAGGTGCATTCTGCTTAAGTTTGATCATGTCTTTTATTATTGCTTTAAGGAAGCTGAATGATCCTTCCATCGTTACTCCATTTTCTAGAGATGACCAGGGTTTTACTCCACTACATGTAGCTGCTATTTATGGTGAGCACCCCATTTTTTTTTTTTTCATTTTTCAAATGTTGTAGGGTGGCCTTCCCCAGTATAGCACAATCCTTTAGCTCTCTTAGTTGGGTGTTTTGAAGGTTGCAAACCCTTTAGGGCAAGGAGGCTAGCGAAGTCCAGTCTGCGTGTTTTGCTCTACACAGTGTTTCTCAACCTTGGCAACTTTAAGATGTGTGGACTTCAACTCCCAGAACTCCCTA